AAAAAATGACTGAGGAAAATAACATAAAACCGGCCTTCAGTGATTTGTTGCAAATACCAGGGAGAGTCGCAGGGTTAAGGTGGTAGGGTGAAGGTCGCGGGGGAATAGAAAAATTAACCTACGCCGGTCTGTTGAGTAGTACAGGTCAAACCCCAAAACTATAGTGGAGAACCCGCTATCTATTCGCCCTGGGACCTTAACCCTGCCACTGGCTACAGCACTATTCTTTGCACCGCCTGATTATTTCAGATATCGTAAAATTACGAAACGTTTGATGACATACTGAGTTCCTGTTCGAACTAACATAACTGATTGACATGTCTTAACTTTTTGGATGCGTGACTATTGCTTGAATTTATATAATTTGATTAAAGGAATAGCCGGCTGCTCATGGGGACTTGTTCCTTGACGAGGATAGTTCTACGCTTTTAAAGAAGATCTACTATTTCTCGTACTATAGAGGGCTGGGGGGGGGGGTTACTCTACGTAGATCTATAGAGAGAATCTATTTCTTAAGAGATTCGTCTTCAATTTCAGTCAATTTCGAGCAATTAGCGCGTATAGTACTCCGTTAAGTATAGCCGGAGAGGCGGTCGCGTAAGGTTATACGGGGTATATCAAAACGGCGTGCTAATTCACACATTGAGTATATTTCTTGATTTTTAAAAGCCTAGATAGCTAGTAAAATCCTACCTTCTTGCTCTATTAAATCCCTAGAACTTCGAGAGCGAATTGGTGGCATGGTGGGAGGTTGAATGGACCAAGTGCTAATTCATGGACGTGTTTTCGTTGGGGTGGGCGGCTCGGTGGTGTGGATGGCTCGGTGGTGTGGGTGTGGTGGTGTGGGTTGTGGGCGGCTCGGTGGTGTGGGCGGCTCGATAGTGAAATACGTTATTGGGGACTTGATATGTAAGAACACGCTGACATGTGTTTGGATGCTCTTTTAGATTGTATATGAAGGTAAAAAAAAGCATAAACCGTATAGAGAACTTTCGTATCTATAACTAGAAATTGATTTGCTCTAAATAGCATATTGTTCCTAGGACTCGCGGATTAAGGGTCTGATTTAGACGTTGATGCCTAAAGAAATAGTTTACAGCCTAATATTTTAGGCATAAAGCTTGAATCCTTTGGCGATCTACCCGTGCACGTATCCGGCGCCTCACGTGGCGTGTTTCTAGATGCATGCAATTTTCATTGCCTCTCTACGCATTGGAACCTTGGGAAAAGGAAAAAAGAAGAACTCAATTTACTAGCCATATGTCAACCAGCCTTAGAACGCCATGAAACCAATATTTATCTATTTGCCTCCGATCGGTCCGATCGGCCTCATCGCGATGATGACAAAGAAGAAAAAGTTAGTTAGTCAATCGCCTCCCATAAAAGTGGAAATTGGCCGCACCCGAGCAATGAAGCCCAATGAGCGAGTCTCTCCACTGTGGAGAACAAAACGTCGTGAATGGAAGCCCCGATGTCGTGCTTTGACGCGATAGAATAATATTTCGGGGGAATAAAAGCTGTTTCCCACATTGATCCCTTCCCAAGTCTCCGTGGTATAATCTACGGGGAAAGACTTGGTCTGGATGATGGGCACTACACACGACAACATGGAAAAGTCCAGCTTCAGCGACGAAAAGGTCCAACCGGCGCCCGGTGCAGATTTTGAAGCCTACGGTTCGGATCCCAAGGGGGAGTATGAGCTCAATGTCGGAGGTCGTGCGGCCTTGCAGCGACGCCTGCGCAATTATCAGGTTACCATGATTGGTTTCTGCAGTGGTATTGGGACTGGTTTGTTCGTGGGAACTGGCGCTGCCTACGCCAAAGCTGGCCCTGCTGGTTTGCTGCTCGCGTATATTATTGTGGGAGGAGTTTTGTGGTGTGTCATGCAAAGTATCGCCGAACTCGCAACGCTTTTCCCTACTGCTGGATCCTTCCCTCACTGGGCGACTCGATTCATCGACCCGTCTGTTGGTTTCTCCCTCGCTATTTCCTACGGATACTGTTACACAATCGCTATCGCCTCGGAAGTTTCGGCGGCCGCCGTTATTGTGTCATATTGGACGGATATCACGCCTGCTGTGGTGATCACCGTTGGATTGGTACTCATTTTGGCTATCAATTTGATGAGTGTGCGATTCTATGGTGAAACCGAAGTCTTTGGAGGTGCCGTCAAGGTCCTCTGCTTCCTTGGCTTGGTTATTGTTTCCATTGTCATTACTGCAGGTGGTGGTCCCCACGGTGATGCCATTGGATTCCGCTACTGGAATAACCCTGGACCGTGGACAAACTTCAACGGTATCACCGGTCCGACAGGTCACTTCCTCGGCTTCCTGTCGTCGTTCGTCAACGCCTCGTTCAGCTTCATTGGTGTCGAAACCGTCGTCATTACGGCATCCGAATCGGTCGATCCCCACCGTGCTATTCCCAAGGCCGCCCGCCGTGTGACTTACCGCATCGCCTTCTTCTACATTCTCGGAGCGCTTCTCATCGGTATGATCGTCGACCCAAGAGCCGCAGGCCTTGTTTCCGGCTCCGGCAACGCGAACAGCTCGCCCTTTGTGATTGCTATCACCAACGCCGGCATCAACGCTCTACCCTCTATCGTGAATGCATGCATTCTCATCGCCGCATGGTCTGCCGGTAACTCATACTGCTGGGTCGGATCGCGCATGATTGTCGCCATGACTACAGACCACCAGCTTCCCCAGATCTTCGGGCGTGTGAACAGTAAGGGTGTGCCATATGTGGCTGTCTTTGCCGCATGGCTCTTTGGCCCGCTCGCTTACCTGAGTCTTGGCAGCGGTGGTGCAGCGCAGGCATTCACCTGGCTTCTGAACTTGAGTACAGTTGCCGGTTTGATTGCTTGGGCGACCCTTTGCGTCTGCTACATTCGTTTCTATGCCGCAATGAAGAAACAAAATGTGAGCCGAGACACCCTCCCATGGCAGGCACCCTTTCAACCTTATGCCGCGTGGGTGGGCTTTATTGGTTCCGTTATCATCACTTTAGTTGCTGGTTTCCCCGTATTTTTAAAGGGTAATTGGGATACGTCCAGCTTTGTCGCGTCGTACATCGGTATCCCCATCTTCATCGTTCCCATCATTTGCTGGAAGCTCTGGCATCGCACCAAGGTTAGTTTAACCCATCTTATTCATTCTGCTCCTTCACGAAGAGTTGCTAACATTTCGATGTACAGTTTGAGCGCGCTGCCACTATCGACTTATGGTCGGGCCGTCTCCTAGATGGGGAGATCCAGCCGGTTGAAAACCCGCATAACAATTGGTGGACAAAGTTCACCGATTGGCTCTTTTAAATGACTTTTATGATGTGTAAATATTTGCATGCCAAACAGGCTATTCAACATTAGCGAAGTACAAATTTTTATTCCGTTCAATTTGCATTCCAGAATTCATTCTGAACTTCGTTCGTAAATAGTATTCGCACCCAAAGTGCCTATTGGGTCTTGAATTGCTGCCCAAGTTTCTTGATATCGTGGTGGGAAGCTTTGCAGCACCCGCCCACAAGGAACGACTTGAAATGGCCCTTTCCGTAGGCTTCTTTGACCACTTGGGCCAACTGTTCTTCCCAAGGTCGCTAAATTCCATGTCAGCATAATTGTCATCTCCAAGGTTCCCACTTGAAAGTAGTACTTACGTTAGCACTCACAATATCGCTCAAAGCATCGTTTTTCTCCCAGATCTGCGTCGTAGTATTGTACACCTCCCCATTCGTCCCATCAGGATACAAAACCAAACTCGGTACAGCAGATATCTGTCCACCCGAAACAGCCTCCACAACCACGCGACCAAATAAATCAACAAGTCGAGCAAGCTTATGCATCTTAGTACAATTGATCCCAATTCCCCAGGGAACAGCCCCACCCTCCATAGGCGCAACAGCAGCCCGCACAGCCTCCTCCACGGAGCTCCCATCAGGCAGGAGATCATCCTCACGCGGGAAAACACAAGCAATCCAGAATGGCACATCGAATGCAGAATCCCGAATCGCCCTCCTCACAGCTCGAACCTCATCAAGCCGCGGCAGCGTCTCAAACGCAACATACCGCACCCGCGACACAAGCTCCCCATCCGCCTCAGCAAACATGCGCAACCGATCCAAGTGCCACAAATACAGTGATTCCTCGGAGTCGTGCTCGGCATCATATGCGCCGCTATACTCTTGACCCGGAATCATGCACGCACCGTAAGGACCAAGACTGAGCGCGACACTTGCGCTCTCGCGCACTTTCGCTTGTTCAGCGATATCCACAGCCTTCTGAAGGAAGGGCCCTACTGCGTTGCGTGGGATCCCGCCTGGGAATTGGGCAGTTTTGGTCCGTGCAAACCCCTCAGGGGAGACTTGGTAGGTTGCTGTTAGGAGAACGTCTACTCCGGCGACGCCGAAGTCGCGTTGACATGCTTGTAGCGTTGCTGGGTCGCTCACTAGCAGGTGTGAGGCCCAGAGTGGGGTTGTTGTGGAATCGAATTTGATGTTGTATAGGTCGCCTAGGGAGGTGCCAAGGCCTCCGTCCAGGATTTGGATTGTTGCCATTATGTGTATTTGGGGGTTTAGGTGATTTATTGAGGGTAAGTGGGGGGTTTGCTGTTTGATACAGTCCTGAACAGGGCGATTTGCTCGAGGTTACATAATCGCTCGATTTTGGGCCGGTCTCGGGGGTATCAAAGTTTGAAGAGTGGAGATTACTGACATTAACTCATGCTTGGATACTGGGGATTTGTGGTTTTTTCATGGAGTAGAAGATATTTTCTGAAGTACTCATGGATAATACAGTAGTCGATCTATCTATACATCATGGATAAACCTCTTAGAACTTGAAGACTAGGTATTGCTCCTTTTTATTCCTTCAAGTATATATTTTGTCTAAGTGAACATACTATACAAAAAATGTGTCACTTACTCTTCTTTATTCATGGGCCCATCCATATCGATGCAGAACTTGCATCTCATTGATAATGCATAGTTCTCCACCCTCTTCATTTCTAGTGCTCAAGGCCCTCCATCTGTTTACCCGCCTTCGAACTACTTCTTCTTTCATCCATGAAGTCACACCCAAGCGGCGCAGTCGATTGACCCACAACCCTTGTACAATCCGCTTCACAGAGAGCCAGCTCATCGTCGGATGAGTAGCTGTATATGCAGCGCCGCTATAGCCTACTCTCACCAAAGGGTTCAGATAAACACCCGTTTCCACCGACAGTGGGTTATCTGTGTGAATGAGACAACATTCGGAGCCCTCAAGATGATACCTCGCTAGTGAATCAGGGATACCTCGGAAGCGAAGTGGCGATCTGGCAATGAATGGACTTGCGGACATCACCACTAGAGATATATTAGTGTATGCAACGCTCTCTAGAATGGATGTCAGCGTACCCATGCCATTCCAACAACTCGTCACCGGAACAGGAGACATATTTTTCATTGCATGTCGCGATGCCGTAGAGCTAAAGTAGGGCCACGTTTGCATTATGGGCTCATGGCCCTTGCTATCCCGGAGAGCAAATGTGTCATAGTAATTCGGAGGCTTAGAGAAATCCAACGAGCAAGATGCAGCGTACTCGCCGTCATTGGTATGAAGAAGTTCGAGGACATCGTTCGGCTAATCAACAAAAATAGCCCTTAGTTAGAATGCACATTTGACAAAAGGGAAGATGATCGAAACGAACCGTGAATACGACGTCATTCAGAAATAGGATTTTATCAAAGGTGATACCCTGTCGTGCAAGATCCTGCAGAGGCAGCAAGCTCAAGTTTCGTATCCGCGCTAGATATGGCACTCGTCTGAGTTGTCTTTTCCCATCTGGAGTGCTAATCCAGCCTTCGCCCCTTGCTGGTGCGGCAATTTCATCTTCATGCGTCACTGGTGACAAAGTGATATTCCGTGGTACTCGCATTCGGTCGAGTTCCCAATCTAGTTCCCTCAACGCGCCTTTCGTGTTATCATAGCTCCCGCTTTCGTATATGCTGATGAACACATTTTCCGGACCAAGCTTCAAGACCAGCTGTGTGAGTGCCTTGCTCCAGTGACTGCGTAGGATACGTTCATTGTTCCAATTGATGCTTGCAATATATATTCGTTCTTGGTTTTGTGGCCGGTGTCGGAGAATAGTGTGATCTGCTTCGTAAAGTCGGTGCTGAACCAGATGTATTTCGGCCAGATTCCATATTGTGAAGATTATGATTAGAGCTCGGGCGATGCGGTACCGGAGGACTCGTCGGGAGGCGGACAAAATCGTCATGGAAAGTGAGGGTATTGGGAAATTGGTGGGATTTGGTATCAACGTCTGGGTCGATTGGGATGCGCACGGTCTATTCTTCCTGACATACTTGACTGGAGTTGGGGAAGAAACCCTTGATAGACAATATTGGGCGTCTCCAGGGCAGAGCGAGGTAATCAAGGGATATTCCAACATGAACATGAGAATGTATACTGCTTTCCCAAAGTAGAAATATCTATGATGATCATTACTGGAAGGAGTAAAAACGTTATTCGCTGTTCGGCCATAAATTAATCGTGACACCCATTACCTAGGTACATATCTACATCTGTAATATGGTTGGTCGTACGTGGAAGTATAAAAATAGTTGTTTCTATATTAGTTCCAAGAAGACAAAACAATTATAACAAGTACTATACAAGGGATGAAACCCACGATGTCAAGGAAGGAGCGAGTCTCAATCAATTCAGGATATGCAAAATAGCCGTAGCAGCAATCGCAATGCCAGCTACTCTCGTGAAGCCCGAATGACCCTGATTACCTGTCCCCGTTTGAGTCGTGTCGGTACTCGATACCGTCGTACTAACTCCACCCTCAACCCACGGCTGCCCAGGCAGCGAATTTGAGCTCTCGCCGATCTCTGTCGCGCTAAGAAGCTTGTTTTCCAGCAGATCGCAATCGATCCGATCATCACTCTTGGGTATACTGTTGGTGACAGAGATCGGCAGGTCAAAGACAGTGTAATAGTCGGTCCCATTCCAGAGGAAAGATTGGTGCATGGAGATATTATATGCCCCGCGCGCCGAGTCCTTTGAGCCAGAGCCGTCTCCCACGAGGCATTCAGGCCAAATCCAATTCACATGTTTGACAGTGGATGAGGGCTCTAGATCCAAGACGGGACCGACGTAGCTTGTGTTAGACGCGGACTTTGTGCCATTTGAGATGGTGAAGTTGTGTGACTCGGAGGTTAAGAAGAGTGTGATGTCGTGGAAGCGGGTGGATGAGTCGGGTTGAGTTGATGCGGGCCATGGTAGTTTGCCATTGCCGGACACATCGATTGCGACTTGCAGGTTGTCTAAGGAATTAGTATGGGGTTGATAGATTTTGGCACATAGACTTGCCTCCTCCGAGGGGCGTGTTAGGCTGTGGGGCATCGACAATTGCCAGGCCTGGCGTGTAGACTTGGCCATTGACAATGGTGAAGTTGACCATTATTCCGAACTTATTGATTTGATCTAAGTCAGGGTTATTTATTTACACAAACATAAGTTGCGCTGTTATGTCCTTCTTATTCTTTTGGGCCAAGGGGCTCATTTCCGACAACTCCGCCATTATCCTTAGCGTATTGGAATTAATTTCAGTTATTCAGGTCATTGGTCTGAATATGACCCTGAAGCCCTTATTTAGTCCTAGGTCTCTCGCTTTTATTTCTCGATATTAATCACAGTCAATAGGGGTACATGGCATATTTGACCTCTACTGACTTCAAATCAATATTTGTTAGGACAGAATCATCGCTTCCTCAATGGGACAATGCGACCAATCTATCATCATTCATGTATTTGTATAGATAATTATCTACCTAGGTAACATCAACTCCCATCGTCCATGCTTTGGTTCCCCCATCCCTCCCCACTTTTCCCGAGTTCTTGTCCATCACCACCGCTATTCAACCTCATGTTTACTTCATAGTGGTCTCGCGTTACACCTTGCGTATCTATATTTTATTTTTATAGGTAGAAACTTCAAGAATACTCGAAGCTGCTCTCATTCATTACTAACTTAAGATATTTCTGTTTTGTGGGGATCATGGGAAAGAAGACTGGAATTTTTGGTTGACAGTACGCGAGCTCACCTGGTTTGAGGAAAGGACAGTCAATCCTCCATAGCCGCAGCAAGCATTTTCTCCATATTATTGGGACCTTGCAATCGGGCCCCTGCACCCTTGAGGCTTTTTTGTCGTCGCAGATTGTATTCTGTTGGCGACTATCTGGCGCAAGTCTCGCAAATCTGCCTGGTCTTTAGACCGTTGCTCCTTCCAATCTTGGAAGACCTTTTTTCTTGTCCTCAGCGAGTTTGAGGTTCACTGCTGTCTAGTCTAATTGATCTTCAAGGATCTTCAGCTGGACCTCACTGATTTGGGATCGGTTCTTGTTTGAGAAGAAAATCGAAGAAGATGGTATTTATGGTTCTACGGACTATGCGTATACTCTGTAACCCGAGGTCTTGCTTTATTATTCGTCTATCTATCACCGTATTCACTATCTATTTCGATCCTTCAGCTTAGTAGATCTTTTATAAAGTACCCATACCGCATGTATCAATGTGAGGGTGCATATTGTTCTTTTGTATGTCTCTACTCTCGCTTTACTCTCACCTTATCCTCACTCTACCTGTGATGTATTCTGCCATTATCTTCCCTTCTTGTCTCCCTACTTATCTTAACCGAGTTAGCTAGACTAGAAGACTACCAATATTTATCGCTTTTCTAGTCATATGGATTCTGGGGCTATGATTACTTCGTTATCCGAGGAGGATCTGCGAAATACCAAGAGAGGGAAGATGACGATGAGGATGACTTGAATATGCGTAATGGCTGATCCAAATCATCTACTTCAGATCGTATGTATTTGTCTGTATGGAGTTGCATTCTCCTATGTTGATGTGCCCTTTAAAGGGGCGCGTTGTGCATGTACTACAGAAATTATGGTGTCCATTCGCATATCAGCTCATTTCCTCACCTCCACTTTCCCATGCACATTGGTCAAGGTTGGGTACTCATGAGAGAGATGAGAGAGGACAGGCTTTAAATCGGCTGGTCGGATTGGCGATCTAGCAAATGTGGCTCAGATATGTCTGATTCAAGTTCACAACTTACTCCATTCCTATATTGGTTCCATCACAATTTACAGGAATAGATGCGCAAAACATAAGGAAAACAGAACACAAAGGTATCAGGTACAAAAATATTAGAGGCGATCAAAGAAACAGCAGCGAACAGACTGTTCCGGAAAATAGACATGGAACAACAACCGGTGTGGTCACCTTAAGAAAAGTCTTTGAAACCAAGAATAAAGAGAAGGAATATCACCTCTTGTCACCCCAAAGACCAACAATGCCGATCGAAAGCGCAATACCAGACAACCAAGTACGTGCTTGGTGGAGCCGGCGCTCCCGGTCCATCTCGCGCTGAACAGTCTCGCCGTTCACGTCGTCCTGTGCCTCAACCACAACAATGTCCTCATCCTTATTTGTGTTAGAGTCCCGGATTAGGGAGAAGTGAGAAACGTCGCGGATCACGGCCGAGGCCCAGTTCTTCAAGCCGAGGTGACGGTTGAACCAGAAATCAACACCGTGTGCACCGATTGTAGAGAATGCGCACAGCCAGATCATGTATGGGTGTCGGCGGCGCGGAGATGAGAGACACCATGCGAAACAGAAGCAGGAATTGGTCAGGAAGGAGAGGCGCAGGGCATATCGGCGGGTTAGGCGCTTCACTTCGTTCAAGGAACGGGCGGCGGTTGTCGCTGTTGGAAGTAGCTGCAGAGCTGGAATTGTGATGGTTGATGTGGAGTAGGAGAGGCCCTGTAAGTTTGAAAGGGGTTAGCATTTGTTGATCATGTTTTATGATGCGATAGATGCGATTGACATACAGTAAGAAGACCGAGGGAGACAGTGCCAACAAACTTGCTGACGCTGATGGGGCAGGCCATGTTGCAGAATCAAAGTCGCTCGATTATCTCAGGTATTTGATGAGGATAACAGAATCTGGAATGAGTTGAGTCGAAGATTCACGTCAACGATGCAAACAAGAGACGGCTCTTTTCGGTGACGTCGCGGTCCGCCTACGCGCTAGCCAATCAGAGGGCCCCCGTTCTTCATCGCAGTGAGGGCAGTTTACGTGTGCTTTCTACAGTAAAATTAGTGCGTATATACTTACAGATGAAAACCTCGTGTAGAATACAATTTATTTGATATTTGTTCTATCAATGTAGTAGTATATTGGATATAGATCGGCATCTATACCTACAGAACAGATAGCCTGCTAGTACATTTTAGAAATAAATTATTCACTGAATATTATGAACTCCTTATCAAACAATGTATCTTGCTATGTCATTCTAACATACATGGTGAGGCAATCAACTGTAGAGTAAATATGGTGCTTGTGTAGTACCTATCCTTGTTTTTGAATGTTCCAGTCACGACAGGGCACACGAATGCTTATACATCTAAATTCGCAATACATAAAATGCATGAAACCATGAAGCCGAGGTACGACGGTGTATAACTAGTTAGTTAACCAAGTCAAGCCAAAATAAGGCATTCAGGCATTAAATTCAGGCATTCGCCTAGTTATACACCGTCGTAGCCGAGGTCCAATCGTGGGGAAATGGGGGATCACTAAACCACCTGGGCACAACCTACCAAACATCCCCCAACTCCCCCTCTATATTTGAACCAATATCTCCAAAGACATTACTAGTACATAATCAAGATGCCGCTGCCCAAGACAGAATATCTGAGTGACTCCTGGAAGGACGGGATCTTCGGTAAGCTGTTTTTGCGCCCATTGTCATGGGACAACCACACTAACTCTTTGATCCAGCAAACAAAGTCGTCTTCTGTACAGGTGGCGCCGGCACAATCTGCAGTGCCCAGGTCCGGGCCTTAGTATATCTTGGTGCCAATGCCTGTATCATAGGCCGCAATGTAGAGAAGACCGAGCGCGTCGCCCAGGACATCGCGACAGCCCGACCCGGTGCCAAGGTGATTGGGATTGGTTCCGTGGACGTGCGCAAGCTCGAGAGTTTGGAGCAAGCAGTTGAGCGCTGTGTCAGGGAACTTGGAGGTATTGACTTCGTCATGTATGTCGATATATTAACTTGAACCCGGTCTTCGATTTCTATACTAATAACATGTGACAGTGCTGGAGCGGCGGGCAACTTCCTCGCTTCGATCGAACAACTATCAGTCAATGCCTTCAAATCTGTCATGGATATTGACGTCTTAGGCTCTTATAACACCCTCAAGGCAACTCTTCCGTATCTAAGAGAATCAGCAAGCAAACACAGAATGGACTCGAAGACTCGTGAGTGCACCACACGGCGAATCCGACCATCAGTCTATCATTGGCACTGACAACCCTCTAGTTCAACCATCACCAATTGGAACCGGTGGAAGAATTATCTTTGTCAGTGCCACCATCCATTACCGGGGTATGCCCTTCCAGACCCATGTATCCGTTGCCAAAGCCGGTATCGATTCCTTGTCGAACAGTGTTGCGATCGAGTATGGCCCCCGCGGGATGACTTCCAACATCATTGCGCCGGGCCCCATCGCATCGACTGAGGTTAGTATAAGTCTCAAAAGTGTTCTTCCTGTGTCAGAAGCTGATTACCTCATCATTCATTAGGGCTTGGAACGTCTGCTACCATCAGATGCCCTGGAGGCCTACACCAAAGCTCAGCCACTCGGCCGCTTTGGTCATGTACGTGACATTGCCGACGCTACCGTGTATCTCTTCTCGGACACCGGAAGCTATGTCAGTGGCCAAACGCTTGTTGGTGAGTTGTCAGATAACACAAAAGAATATGGTGAAGGTTTCATACTGACACATAACAGTGGATGGTGCAAACTGGCGCATGTCGGCGGGCGGTGCTTCCGGTGGGAACCTGTCTTACCCGGACTTCTTGCTTTCGGGAGATGAGGTACCCAACGTGACTGGCAAAAAGTCTAAGCTTTGAGCAAATGAAATAATGTCTGAGACATGGTAATACACCAGGGGGTTTCAGACCTCTGTATTTTGGATAAATTCTATTACTTATTACTACAGTGGATCTAGCAGATAGAGATTGTGCGTATTCGTGATGTTTCGAAATTGATGTTATTCTTTTCTTGACCTAATCTAAGTTGTTGTCGTCGCAACCTAAAGTCTTGCGTCCTGTCTCCACTCTGCAAGACACTCCTCCCGGCCCTGATATCAGTAACAATAGTTAACCTATAGCAAATTCAAAACAAACCATGCTCCATACTGGGTTAAAAAGGTGTAATAGCATTATTCACCACTGCCAGGTACGAAGGGGGAAGGGGCATAGATATGCTCTGATCTTTAGGCTTGGGAACGAGACTTGCGAATCTGAATATAGTTCTTCCTTTTTGTTCTTTCTTCTTCCCACCGTGAGAAATTACATCAATGTTTTGTAGAAACTACTGAAACCCCTAGATGTCCCTGCCTTATACTGTCAGTAGGCTATGTGCAACAGATTGAACGTGCCTCAGCAATAAGATGTATTCAATTTGGGAGTTACCGCGTGACAAAAATATATTCATACAGGGTTTTCTTTATCGCCTCCTTTCTTGCCCCAATCCCGGTTTTAGACCACCGCCAAAGCCACAAAAAGAAAGCCAAAAGTCTCCATAAGTCCCTTAGACAAGATACTGAAGGGTCCCAGGAAAGCATGTTGAGAAACATGTCGGGCTTGAGTGGGTTGCATGATTTAGTGCCTTGGACCAAGTACTCTAGGTATTCTTGGGGCACATATGCCGCGATCAAATACATGTCGGTGCCAAATTGGGTCAGCATGGTCCATATGTAGACTACTGGTTAGTTGTGTTTCTTGAGTGTTGTGGTCATAGAACCTGCCCGTTAGGTGACACCGTCTTGTCGCCCTGCACTCTTGGCCTATTTCTCCGACACAACCAAGCTGGTTATGATCCACGCCAACATTTCGAGCAATTGCTGCATTAACAAAGCTCTTATTTTCTTTTGACCCGAATTTTGACTTCAATGATAGCATGGCAATTGCCTTGACGATCGACCAGTCTACCGTCCAATGAATACCGAGCTTACATCGAGTTTTCGCTGAACATTGTCACACTTCAGATTTATGGAGAGGTACAAACATATCGTGTAAAGCAGGTTGATAAAATTCGAGTTTATCTTTGCCTCATGGGTACTCTTTTGAACGCAATATTCCTTGTACAACGGGGTTTCCACCAACAATTCCATAAGCGCGGTGTATCCCGCATTGTCTGTTTCCCGCCTCTCCAGCGTCGGATTCTGGAATTCTCTAGCCATGGCTTCGGGGTCACGAGTGTGGAGGGGGGTATAGAAGAAAATGAATCAGTGACAGAAGGGAAGGCATCAACGCAAGTCAGATCAAATGCGGCAAGAGAAAGCACAGGATTCACTAACTACCAGTTAAGGCAGGGGCCTTCCATTGCTACCTCACAAACACTGACTCAGATACTTCGGGGTCTTAGAAAGAACTATTTGGAAGAGTACACCGTCGCAAAGGTCCCAAGGACTTGTTAGTGTTAGTTCCGGTTGAACGGTGGGTGCTTTGAGTAATTTTGACGAAAGAGGAAAAATACCTTGACCCCATAATCCACCTCCCTGACAGTAAAAGAACCAAGTGTAATGGTTTGACTGACTTGGCGAGATCAATGGGTATGATTGCAAATGCGTCGCCTCACCACTGAGATCACGCCTGGCTGTTATGTTCTTAACCGTGTCAATTATGATATGAGACCTTTGTGGAAACCTGCAATGGGACCATACCTTGACCTAAGCTTCATCCTACGTCGTTTTATTCATGAAGTTTCTCCAAAGCGTGGCGGTCATTGTGTGAGAATTCGCAATGTAGACTGGCTCTGGTGGCTGTGTCGCCCCTTTGACTCAGTGTAGATTGTCGCCGATAGCTTTCTGGCTCGTTGCTGCCCGGCTTGCTTGTCAAGGACCCGGCCTATACCCGTACCGCGTTTTTATTCGGGGTCTTTTTAAGACCGAGGGACTACCCCCGCGAGCCGCTCTGGGGAATATAATGTTCTGGTCAGCACTGGTCCCCGGTGTAGGAGGGCCTGAATCTCAACATATTCATGTCATAGAGCAGTAGGAACTCGTCAAAATGTGGAGATCGACGCTTAAGTAACTTCGGAGGGTAGAGCACTACGGAGAGGTCCGCGCTTTTGGTCAAGAGCCATAGTGACAGTATCCCCCACCATGATTGTATTCTAGACTGTAGTAGATCTAGTGACACGAAATAGCCAAGGCTTTCATTAGATCATGGAAGAAAAGTCTATTCGGCAAGCCGAGTGCACTGACCTTCGGCAAGCCAACGGCTATTCAGCCGCAACCACATGGCACAGATCTCAAGTCTACATGTATATCATGGAGGAGCCATTGGGGATGTCTACGAATAGTTAGATCTAGGCAAAATACAATTGAATAGTCATAGAGGTTTAATGTATATTGCACTGTTGAAAAAGACATCCTATTCCTAGAAAAAGAGCATTCAAGGGACCAAGGAGTAACCCATTGTTCTCTTTATTGGAGGTTGATTTTATAATAGGCATTGTTAAAGAAAGATCTTGTCACCAGCAAACAATGGGCGAGCCTATTGATTGGTCTAGGGGGGTGAGACCAAGCCATTGAGCAAGGTCGTTGACCAATGGGGTCCCAGAGCCTCACCTTCACGTCGTGTGTCGAGGCCTTTATCTTCTCCTCTTCCCTCTCAACTTCTCTTTCCTTCTTCTCCTCTCCCTTATTTCTTCCCCATGATCATCACTCTTTCTTTCTATGCTTTCTATGCCATCTGCGAAGGATCCTGAGACTCGTTGTTTGAAACATATTGCTTCCTGTTAGTCCCAATCACCTTTGCAAATCTTGTCTACCGTTTCTGACTGCTTGTCGCGTAGCAGTTCATGTCTAGTCATTTAGCACCTGTGACAAGACCTGTCCCCACTACTTTCTCTCTGTGTGAGACTCCCCAAGCCTTTTCTTCTTTCCCCTCATATGGTCTCTAACCACTCCCAATGTAGCAACCATTGACGATTTCTCTGAGTCTCCATACGACTCTTATCTTGTGTCAACTTTTATTCTGTGAGTTCAGCTGCCTTTGCAAACAACTTTTTCAGGCGTCACATCTAACGTCTTTCAAAGTTCAACATGGCAACCCAGCAGGGACCAGCCCGCCGCAACGGCGTTATTGGCTTTCAAATGGCGGGTGCCCCCACCCCCGCCATCCCTCTGATCGCCCGGCCTCGCAATGGACCCATTGGCTCCCAGATGATGCGTGGTCCTTCTTCGACTGCCACCCCTCCATCTTCTCTCATGAACCAGGGTCCTCCGCACAGGATCACCCCCCTGGTGGGCCCCAACACAGCCTATTCTTCCTCCCGCGGTGTTCAGCCAAGTCAGGCTCAGCGCGAAGTCACCGCACTGAACGAGAGACTCGCAGATGCCGAGACCGTTATTTCTCGCCAGGAGAGCGAGCTGAACTACGCCAAGTCCCAGGCGTCGGCTCTGCGATCCGATATGAAGGCGCAACGAGCAACCACTCGCTTCATGGAGCAGTACCAGATGGATACCATGATCCATCAATGTAACAACAACCGTGCCCGTGATATTGACGCTCAGTTCAAGATCGTCGATGGTCAATTGGACAATGTGTCCGAGGAGCTCGAACATGCTGAAGGCAACGAGAGCGCCCTTCGACGTGTTAAGCAACTCCTTGAAAAGGACCAAGCAGACATCCAGCAACTACGGCGTATTGTCACCACAGCTGAATTTAACCTGCAACGAAAAGAACGCCTTGCGGGTGCGGAGGACCGACTGAACGGCCTCCTTAAAAACATGGAGAAGATGCTTGCTGCGGCCATGCAAGACACAAGGGCAAACCAGGTCCAGACTCGCAAGGTACCAATTGCTGAGACCTCGACCAACCCTGTGGGCATTGTGCGTCGCCATGTCGTGGGAAACCGGGAACCAGGCTCCCATGGGCATGCATTTGATCCTCACCCGCAGCAACTCGACAAGGGAAAGGGACGTGGCCCGAGATCGCTCCATCCTGAGGATCACGAAGCTGATGGGTACATTGGCTCCAACGTTGATGTTTCCGGTAGCTCTTTGAGACCTCGATCAGAGAGTCCCAGCGTTCTTTCTGACGTTATGTCATTGGATAGTTGCAGATCATCACGCGAAGGGTCACCCATGGATATCAACACTGAGCCCACCGAACAAGAACTTGCCGCCCATATGTTGCAGGCAGATGAGTCGCAGGTGGGCGACCGAAATGCAGCGGTGCAAAAAGCACCAGCTACCACCCTTGCCATCACTCCCCAGCAAGTGGAAATTAACGACATGATGAAAAGCGAAAACCAGCTCTTTTACTTCAAACTTGCAAAGCTGAACGGCGAGGCCTTTGATGGGTACATGGAATGGGTTGGGGAGCCAGCACAGATGATCACAGTCTTCAACAAAGATGACCAGGCGGCTCCGAGCCAGGCATCTAGTGGTCCGAGCCTACCCTTCTTTCCTGCCATAACTGTCGATTCCTATGAGGATGTCCTCATGATTGGCGGCCAAGTAGCCAGCGCCGTGATCCCTCCAGATTCCAGCAGTCCCAGTGATATTCCGATGTCACTGCGATTGAGCAAAACAATCGCAGATGGCGTGGCGATCGCATGTGCAACCCCAACATTGCCGAGCGACCGCGACCGCGTATTTAAACGGCAGGATCGTCTCACCGGGAGTCTCCGCCGTTACGTGCGCCGGCGGATGATTGAGTTCGTCAATCTCCCAATACGAAAACGGGCAGCTGGCATTGTCGGGTTCACCGACAACGAAGGACCAAACTGCAAGAAGAGAATCACAAAAGAGCTGGTGGAATCCAACGGATCGCTTTTGCTTTCCCTTTCTGAAGTATATGTGATGAACACAGCCCCGAAAGTGCCAGAGGTGAGTGTGCCAGCTGTTTCGCAGCCAGCTCAATCTGTGCATGTTTCGACAGAGAAGGTGCCCACCCAGGCAGTCACGAGTGAGCCAGCTGTTTCGCAGCCAACTCAGACTGTTTCGGAGTACACTGAGCCTGTTATGACCGAGCAGGCAGTCGTGAGTGAGCCAGCTGTTTCTCAGCCAACTCTGACTGTTCTGGAGTACACAGAGACCGTGTCGACCGAGCAGGTGCCCATTGAGGCAGCTATGAGTGCGCCAGCTGTTCCCCAGCCGACTCAAGCTACCCAGGAGGCCACCGAGCAGGTTTCCATTGACTCAGCTTTGAGTGAGCCCGCTGTTTCTCAGCCGATTAGAGCTGTGTCAGAGGAAGACGAGAGTCTCGAGACCGTGCAGGTGCCTACCGAGGCAGTTATGAGTGTGCCAGCTGTTTCCCAGCCGACTCAAGCTGTCTTGGAGTCCACTGTGCCCGAGTCCAGTGTGCTTCAGTGCACCTCGCTCGCGCCAACTGTGTCCATCCCATCTGACGAAATTGTGGGTGTGCCTGCTCCTAGTGAGCCAGCCCCAACTAAGTCAGCCCAGACTGAGCCATCGTCAGCTGAGGAAATTCTGAGAGTGCCTGCTGTTACTAAGCCGACTCTAAATGAATCAGACCTGACTTGGCAGACTGAAGATGAGCTTGTTGTTCCGAGCCTGCGGACCGGTACCCGTTCGCACCTCGATGTTTTGCTTGCTATGCGAGCGGCAAGGACTCAAGCTCGTCCTAACATCATGTCTTCTCCTGAGGGGTTGCAGGTCACAGCAGCCCCTCGAATTATCTCCACCTCTTCCCTGGTCGCCAGTCCCGAAGACGCTTCGGTCAAAAATGCCGTTGCAACAGGGACAGATTCCCGTGCGGGGGTTTCGAAAGGCACCAAGAGGGTCGAGGACGCCAACCCGACTTGCGGCGCTCAACGGACTGCAGGAGAACAGCGGGAGGAAATGGGTGGACAAGAGGCAGCGACTTCTGGTCTTCAAATGCCAGGAGCTTGGCCTTCCGACCCACCCGCTGTCACTGTGTCTGACTCGTCAGACATGCATGAGGGATCGGCTTTGCTGAGGGGGTTGTGGACAGGAGCTCGTTGGGTCTCCTTTGGTGTATTCGTGATGGTGATGGTGATGCTGCTCTCGTTCCCCGTGTGGGCAGGCCACCTTGGACACCTCGTTTACGCCTTGGAGGGTCCCGAACAGTTCCTGGAGGAACTGCGGTGGGAGCACGGATATGATGTTCCATTCTTGGAGCGGATTATCTATGTCTTCCTCCGTTGTTTTGCCGGAGATCGGACTTTGTTCGGTTAACGGCAAGTGGTACACACTCCATCAAGGGGAGGGACGAATGAGCCACCTCTTGATGGATAATATGATATTACAACGAAAAGGCAGGAAGCTGGCAAGTCCGACGATTGCCGCTTCAACTGCAATACAACAACAGCGGCTCAAGGGGAGGGACGAATGGGCCATCTCTTGAGTTCGCAAAAACGACAAAGTAGCAAGCTAGCAAGTCCGATAATTGCAGCTTCACCTACACAGTTACAGCGACATGTGTCTGTTACCAAAGACACAGAAACAAGAACCTCTTATTTGAGTACCCTTGTTTCCCTCACTCGGGAGGGTGATGGATGATTATCATTGTCGACGCCCATGGCACTTTGTCAGAGTACCTGTTCTGAGTTGTGTACGATTGGTTTGTTGTACACCCTTCCGGGTGATGTACGATTGCTTGTCGGATGTCGAAAGACGGCACGTTCGAGTACTGTTTTGACGCCATGTCCGAGTCCGTGTTGACTCGATGTTTGATTTCATGTTTGAACATGTCAGACTGCGTTATCTGGGCCCTGGAGTATATTATATTCGGGTATATTTTGTTTTGACTGCCCAGGAAACTGGGTAGAAGATGTGCAATCGGCGCCGTCCTGCCCACACATGAGAACGAGTTATACTACGATCACAATATACAATACCGCCTGCGTGTTCAGCGGGCTGGCCATGCAATTCCGCCAAAAACACGCCAGTTCCTGGGAGTGGAGAGTATTATATGATCTCCCAGGAGCTGGCACGATGGTACAATCAACACCATCTGCATGGACGGCCTGCTGAACACGCAGCAGAAACACTAGCCAGCCCCTAGGAGATTGCAACATTATATCTCCCAGGGGCTGGAAATATGGCACAAAAGCTGCCATCTGCGTGTTCAGCGGGCCGACCATGCCACCTACAACACGCCAGCTCCTGGGAATAGGAGACATTATATGATCTCCTCGGAGCTGGCTGTGTGGTCGGCCTGCTGGGCACGCCAATTCACTGAAGACATGCCAGCCCCTAGGAGATGGGACCGTTATATGATCTCCTAGGGGCTGGCAACATGGCACAAAAGCTGCCATCTACGTGTTCAGCGGGCCGACCATGCCACCTACAACACGCCAGCTCCTGTGAATAGGAGACATTATATGATCTCCTTGGAGCTGGCTGCGTGGTCGGCCTGCTGGACACGCCAATTCACACTAGAAACATCGGCCTCTAGGGGATAGGGACATCAAATGATCACCTAGGGACTGACAACATGACATGAACAACAGCCAGCTCCTGGGAGTAGGAAACATTATATGATCTCCTGTGGGTTGGCAACATGGCATAAACACACTCCAATGCCACCTACATGGTCAGCCTGCTGAGCACGCCAGTTCGCCAACGACAAGCCAGCCCCTAAGAGCTAGGAACATCATTTGACATCCCAGGAGCTGGCAACATGGCACAAAACATAAACATGATGCCACCTATGCGTTCATCAGGCTGACCATGCAAATTTTTAACAGCCAGCTCCTGGGAACTGGGAGCATTATACCATCTCCTGGAAGACATGATACTGCAGTACCCGCCATAGTGTGACACAAAAAAAAAAAACAAATTGGTGGCCCTTGCACGTCTACCAGGCCTGACTATGCGCATTTCGCGCTCAGCGAAACTCGACAGCAACATCAAAATTCTGTTTCGCGACCCTGAAACATATACCGCAGTACCGTGTATTATTCGCGGCTCTCAGGGGACATTGTGCCAACTCCTGGCAGTTAGAAGCGATGTATCAAACTAGATTACTGCGATATATGGCCATCAGCATGGGACTGGAGCCCTCGCCATCTTGATATTTACAAAATATCACGGGAACGATGCAAACCGGCGTCAAGAGGGTCTTTTTCGTGGAGCCTACGAATCTGAACGCGAATTTCCAGAGTCTGAGATGACGCCTACACAGTCAGCAGGCTGACTGGCCACTATCCACCAATGATGGCACGAGCCACGCAGGAGCTGGCGTCACCCACTCCACTTCCCGCTGAAAGAAGATCACTTATCTCCATACCCCCTCGAATATTGTTCACCACGTTATTGAGTCTTCTCCTCTCAACGACTTTAAGGAGAGAAGCATCGCCTTGCTTCTGACTTACATTTTTTGCGTCAATCTTCATTTCCTTCCATCACTATGTTTGTGCGCTCCGTCTTGCTGGGTGGCGCTGCCGCTCTTAGCGCCAGCGCGATGCTGGTCGTCCCCGAGATGGAACCTAAAGTCGATATTATTGTAGATGGATTTGTGAATGTCCACCCGATGCTTTTGGAGGATGTTCATCATGCGATTGTTGACCTGCCCTGCTCTGAATGTCCTCTGCGTGAAACCAACGGCGAAGGTGTTGTTAGCTGGACCGAGGGCAAACCATCATCTCTGGTAAGGATGATAGAATCCATTTATTCATCCGAACTGGCTAACAAACCCCCATAGACTCTCGATTTCTCGATTGAAGACAACCGCCTGCTGGCCAACGGCCGCCAAATATTCCCACCGGCCCCGCCCGTTCCAATTCTTGCTGTACAACAAAATGAAGAGGGAGAGGACTCCGCCCCCATGCCTGTTGGATATGCGCTTGAAATCATGCCGATGGCTGCACCATCTGATGAGCCGGGATACGAACTCCTGGATATTCGATTCACTGTTCTCGACCTGGAGAGCCACCCGGTCCCTGTCGATACCGTTGCAATCACCATTCTACAGGATCCCAACGGCGAGCTCTTCATCGCTCGGACCGATATCGAGAACACTGCCCCTGCCTCCGACCGCTTGTCTTGGAAAGAGTGCCACGGCAAGGCCAAATGCCTGCAGGAACTTCTAGTCTCTCGCATTCGGGGCCTCTTGGCTAGTGCCAAGGCTCGTGTGATGGGCATGGCCAAAGCCGGCCGCAAGGGCTGCCATGGCAAACACAAGGGCAAGGCAATGGGTCACCACGAAGAAGGCCATGACGGTATGCCTTTCCCTCCCCCACCTCCTTTTGAAGGAGAGGATTCTGGGCGTGAAAAGTTTGGCCCTGGTGGTCACCATGGCCACGCCCACGGCTCCGGTCGTCCCCACCACCACCACCCATACCACGGCGCTTTCGCCCGCACTTTCTCTCGTATTGTGCACTTTATTGTTGTCCCCGCTATCTTGGGTGTCCTGGCTGGATTGACTGCTAGTGCCATTGGCATGTTGGTCGGCCAGGCTGTGGTTTTCCTCTGGCAACGCTACCGCGGCACCACCTCTTTGGAGCACAAGGCCGCCTGGGAGGATGGCGAGGCCTGCGAAAAACAAGGCCTCATGACCATCCCTCGTTCCTCCGAAGAGGTCCTCCCTGAATACACTGAGCCTTCTGTGGCCCGAGAATCGCTCGATAGGAACTAAGAGAAAACGAAAGAAAAGAAAGAAAAACAAAAACACACAAAAGGAAAAAAAGAAAAAGAAACATGTTGATGTTGTCTTCTCAGCTGGCCTCTCTTTCGCACAGTCAACAAAAATACAAATACACAAATACACAAATCCAAGGGCATTCCTTCCAGTCATCTTTCGACTAAGGGCCATCACCAGCTACCTGGACTGGCCTTTCAATCTATTTTCCTGAACAGGACAGATTCCTTGGAAAATCAAGACGAACAAGACCAAGCACAGCATCAAACACAAAAAGCGAGAATACAATGAGCACAAGAAGAACCAAAGATCTCCACTATCCTTAATCAACAGTCATTGCCAACCGGACTCACCTTTCCACTCATTTTCCAGGCCAGCGGGCCAGAAAACACCGAGCCCTCTGACGCTTGAGGGCCATCGACAAGAACAAGGACAAATTCCTCAAGTTCCGCTATCGTTCACCCCTGGCCACAACCTGTCAGACTGTACTTCCCACCTTTTCCACAGCCAAAACTCACATTCATGCAATGCTACAGTATGAGGCACTCGACAAGAACCGAAAAAAAATGGGTTCCACTGTCTTTTGCCCTATGACCATCACTAGCCAAACTGGGCTCTCTCTTTTCTTCACTGTCAATGCTTCTTACAGGCACTTCTGACACCTCACAATCACGAGACAAGAATAAACGCAAGTTCCGCTGTCTTCTAGTTAAGGACCAATACCACTTGCGCAGTCTGCACTGTGCTGAGTCAATGTTCTATGCTTGTTCGCTGGCTGGGATATCCCACGCGCAACCCTCAGTGGGCAATGATTGTCTTGAGCTTAGTTTTGTTCGAATCTGTTATGTTTCAATATGTCCTTTTGCTCTTGGTTTTGTTCACCTCTTATTCTATTCCTAAATTTTGACTTGTTCCAGTCTATTCTTGCTCCTATTTTATCTACATCCTGTTCCATTCTCAATTTTTGTTTTGTTTCAATGTGTTATTTTGCTCTCATATCAAGCTTGGACATTGTTTTCATTTCCCAATTTTCGTCTGGCGGCTTGTGCCGTGTTTCTTGTGCCGTGTTTATATCCATGTCAATCAAGCCTCATAAATTGAAATATCTCCAGTTCTTAGCCTTTTCTCTGTAGTATAGGATCGTAGGATTGTAGTCCGCTATACTCACTGGTATTCTATTCTGACTGCGAAGCATGTTGTAGAGCTTCGTGCTATTTAACTGCACGCTCATCAAGCCATTCCACATTTTCGGCTGCTTTCACCGTCTATATTCTATTCTGGCCACGATGCTAAGAAGGGGGAGCATTTAAAAAGACTACAAAAAAGAAATCACAAGGCCCAAAGTCAGCCCACTTTTTGTGTTATATATAATACACGCGTGAATAATGCAAATATCCTGAGGTTTCTGTTGCGAATGTCTTTCCTCCTTATAGCTGTTGGTCTACATATGTACAGCGAAAAGAAGTATCACTACACAAGACTATTCCAAATATTTTTGAATGCTGTGATGCCAAGCTATGGATAAGGCTGAGGACAGTCACGTGAAACCGGCATCATCAAGCCCCCTCTTATCAATCCGACAACAACAACCCGA